TTAATATTAAAAAAATAAAATTAACAAATATAATTTTAGAAAAAAAACATAAAACAAATTATATAGGAAAAAACATTGTAGCAATCCACAATAATTTGCAAGGAAAGCTAAAGTGTTTCCCTCACATATTGTAACTGTAATTTTTAACCAATTCAAAATTAAAAAATAAAATAATAAAAGATAATTTTAGAGAAAATCATAAAAAACAAAAACAAAAAAAAACCATGTGGAGAAACACTGTAGAAATCGATAATGTTTTAAAGAAAAAAATTATAAAATTAAATTCTCAATCAATTTAATATTAAAAATATAAAATCAATAAATATAATTTTAGAAAATAAAAAAAATAAAAAAAGAAAAACCTTTGTGAAAAACACTGTAGAAATCTACAATATTTAAAAGAAAAAAATTATGAAGTAATATTTTTAATCAGCTTGATATTAAAAAAAAAAGCAATATTTTTAATCAGCTTGATATTAAAACAATAAAATTGATAAAGATAATCTTGAAAAAAAACAAAAACAAAAAAATAAAAAAGGGGGAAAAACGAAAAAGTGCAAAAAAAAATAAAGTAAAAAAACAAAAAAAAATTAAAAAACAAAAGAAATGCACTATAAATTACTATTGAAGAAATTGAATATAGATGAACAGTAAATTCCCCATCCTTTTCAGGTTAAAGAAAAAAAAAAGAAATGCACTATAGATTACTATTGAAATTCAATATAGATAAACAGTAAATTCCCCATCCTTTTCAGGTTATTACTTAATATAACTTTGTGTCACAACAAGGCTAAAACATTAATAAAATCATTTTAGGTGAGAGGTGGAAGAAAGGGTTATTCATCTTTTATATATATATACATATGTTTTTGTTGTGATTGGCTCTCTGGGTTTTTTTATTGGCTTTTTGGGCTTTTCTAATCTCTTTCATTTATTTTTTAATTTTTTTAATTTTATTTTTTAATGTGATGTTTATATTTAAATTTACACTTCAATATTTTTACCCACTTTTTATTTTTTATTTTATTTTAATCAATTTTATCTTTTAATAGGGAGTTTTTATTTAATTTTATACTTTAGTGCTAGATTAATAGTAAATTATTTTTTTATTTTTTTATCATAAAATAAAATAAAACAATTCAACCTAGTGGATTCCATAATACGAATCATGTATTTGACGGGTTGATTAAATTTAACCTGATATTTGTTTTAATTTTTACTTTGATTTTTTTTAATCTGTCTAGTTGATAAAGTCATGTTGAGACAATTTTTACACGATTTAATTTAAAACTAAAGCTTAATAAAAAGTTGGATTGAAAATTTCTAAGTTAAAAACATTATACTTAGTTGAATAATAATGACAAAAGGTTTTCTAGATCCGAATATTATTCTTTTATATTCCAAAATTTTTTAGTAGGACTTGGAGGAAATAAACTATTAACAAAACTCTATAAAACAGATAGGGAAATTACTATGCATAAAAACATTTAAAAAAAAATTTATTTGTTGCTACAATAAAACTACATTTTTTTCAGAAGAAAAGTTGAGATGCCTTGGAGTTGGGAGTATTATAATCTTTTTATATAACCCATTAGTCATTAGTCATTAAAGTATTTTACAAGGGTATATATACATATCTTTTAACTTTTTGAAATAGTAAAATTACTAAATTTTCTTGAAGTAAAAAAAAGAGAGTTATTGATTAATGATCTTTTTGTTTTTATATTTTTTAAGAAATAGTAAAAAGACATTTTAATTTTTAATATGGCTTTACATAGATTAACTTTATTTTTAAAAATAAAATATTTATTTTTAGATAATATTTCTTTTATATGTAGTTTTGCATGGTTATTATTATTTTTATTGTATTCAATCAATTTCATATGTGTGTCTATTTCTATTATCATTTGATTTTAATAAACAAATTCAGTGAACATAACCAATAAATATCTCATGTTGCACGATTAAATATTTTAATCTACATCTATTTTTTTAATTTTTTTTAATTTTATTTTTTATATCTGTTTTTTAATTTTTTTAATTTTATTTTTAGTTGTTGTTAACAATTTTATTTATTTAATTACACATATGGTCATTCGATTATTTAATTGGATGCTTGTGTAAACTTTTTAATTTACACTTATAATTTTTTATATAAAAACATACATAGAAAAATCCTACATATCTAATTGTTTTATTGAGAAAAACAAATATACGACCTATAGGACTACACGAATCGAGTAACTAGTTTTGAAAAACAAAACTAAAAGGGGAAGGGAAATTATTGTAACCCAAGACCATATTCAATAAAATAGTGTAATTACTAAATTGCTCATTTGCCATTAAACATTTGATCGTATTCAATAAAACAGTGTAATTACTAAATTGCTCAATTGCTCATTTGCCATTAAACATTTGATCTAGGCATTGGGGTTAAGGTGATCATTTCACCGTAACACAATTATCTTTTGCAAATTATATAAAATTAGATTAATTATATTTTTTGTTGCACAATAAAATTACTAATTTAGCACTAAAAGAAAAAAAATATAATACTTATTACTCAAGAGAGTTTTGGACTTCTTAATTTTTTCTTAGTAGTGTGATTAATTTGATATCCTTAAAGAAAAAAATCAATATAACTCTCTTATAAGGGTTTTTTTTTTCCTTATCATCTTGCATTGATTTTATTATAAATTAAAAGGTTAATTAAAAGCATTATTGTAATTGATATATATTAAATATTATTCTAAAAAAACTCTATGTCATATATGTAGCATGCGTCTTTATGTGAATGACCTCTACACTATTTGGACAACACTTTTAGGGTCATCCAGTCACCATACAATACCTTTTAAGATGATGTTTGAAGCTTTTAATGCCCTCTACATGATAGGGTGACATGTGTAATAAAAATATCTTTGGTTTGGCATCAAAGACCTTTTATTTCTCTCCTGATCTCTCTCTTCTTGTAAAAAATATGCATAAACCTTTTTGAAAATTCAAATAAGCCTTTCCATATTTGATTTTAATCATTTTTATTGCTTTTTTTTTTATTTTAAATAAGATATGAAATTATAAATATTTTTCAATTTTATCCTTTTTTATTTTTTTATCTTTCAAAATCGATCCCCATTGTTTTTATTTCTATTTTTTAATTTTGAATAAATTATAAATTCTTTAAATTTCATCCCTTTTTATTTTTTTTATCTTTTAAATTTGGTCAATTTTCTTTTGATTGATATTTTTTTAATATTTTTTAGGTTGTTTTTTTTCAATTTTATCCTTTTTGAGTTTTTTTTATATCAAATTTGATCCTTATTCTTTTTATTTCTATCTTTTTTTCTTGGCAAGTTTTTAAATTTAATATATATTTTCAATTTCATCCTTCAAAATTAAGTTGGTTGAGAATTAGACTTCTTGATTAAGTTCAGGTCAAGGGTTTCATGGGTTGTAAATTTTAGAGGTTTGATCAAGTTTAAAAGGTTTTCTCAGGGTGACTTGTTTTTTTTTTCTTTTTTTAAAACTAATATTATTATTTTTTAACTTTTTTGCTTTATTACTTTTTACAAATTGTCTCATATAACATTATTTTCGAGCTTATGACTTGAGTTATTAGTTTTTAAATGTTAATATGGGTTGATTTTTCTTTTGTCATTTTGTTAGATTGATTTTTGTTGATTGTATTTTTCAACATTTAATTTATTTGAAATTCATCTTCCTATCTTTATTTTTTTTATTGGGTTATCCTGATCTTGTGAATGTAATTGTAGGCTTTGCAGGTTAACATGAGTTGACCTATATTATTTTTTGTTGCATGAGATTAGTTTGGATTCATGATCAGGGTTATTGGTTTTAAAGTTCGATACAAATTGACCTTTTTTGGTTTTTTTTAAAATTAATTTATTTCAATTTTATTATTCAATATTTGATTTATTGAAAATTAATCTTTGTACTTTTCTCTTCTTTCATTTCTATTAGTTTATCCCGATCTTATGTGTATGGTTACAAGATTTACAGGTTAACTCATTTTTTTCCATTGCTTTTTTAGATTAAAAATTCTTTTTTTTTTTTTGTCTTTCAACATAGAGTTATTTAATAATTTATCTTCACCTTGGTATCATGATTGGGCTAGAGATTTTGCATGTTGATTTGAGTGAGTTTGAATCGAGATTTTTTGATATTTTTTTATTATATATATTTTTTAATTTTCATCTTTTAACATTTTATTTGTTAGAGATTGACATTGATTTTTTTTCCTTTTCTTTTTATTTTTAATGAAGTTATTATGTTTTCATTTGATTTAATAGGAATTGGTCTTCAAAATTTTTTTCTTATATTTTTTATGATATTATTTTAATTTTATGTTCATGATTACGAAGTTTGTAAATTAACTGGATTTAACTATTTTTTAAAAGAATTTTAGTTTCATTCTGCAACATTGAGTTGTTTCGTATTTTGAGTAGGTTTAAAGCAAGCTTATTTTAATTTTTTTGTTGTTATTTTTTTACAATTTATTTATTATTGTTATATTTTTCTTTAATAATTAGAAATATTTTGATATAATTGAGTGATAAAATTAAATTATGAGATATAATTGTTGAACTTCAAAATTATTTCAAAATTATTTCTGAGATAGTATTTGTGGTATAATTGTTGAACTTCAAAATTATTTCTGAGATAGTATTTGTCACCCTAAATTATTATATACCCCATTTTCTTTCACATAAAATGAAAACTACCATCATAACTATAATAAGTATTTATAGGTTTCATTATCATTATAACTACCTATGAGTCTCATATTTATGTAAAAAGAGAAATTGTGTTCAAAATCCATGCATAAAAACTATTATGATTTAAAAATAAAGTTCCGATTTATTATTTATCCTTTTTTATATATAAAAACATTTAATTTGTTCTCTTATACGATGTACACTTAAATATTTACACAGTTGTAATGTGCCCTTCACGATATACTCCCTACAAGGATACGCAAGCATACAAAAACCTTCCCCAAAAATCCTAGTGAAAAGAAATGCCTTCTCCCTCTCCCTCTCCCTCTCCCTCCTTCTCCTGCTTCTTCCCGTTTCCCTCTTGACAACTTTCAATGGCCTTTCAATCCGATCACCAAACCCCACAGTCCATAAACTCGCAAACCCTATACTACAAATCCCTCACTTCACTTTCCCTCCAAATCCCTCCAACCCCACCATCCTCCCTCTCTCTCCCTCCTTCTCTCCCTCCTTCAAAACTCATCCCCAAAACCCGTTTCCTCATCGACGGATTCCGCTTTTCCTCCCCTTCTGTCACCGCTTACTTCCTCTCCCACTTCCATTCTGACCATTACACTGGTCTTTCCTCTCATTGGTCTCAAGGTATCATTTTTTGTTCCCCAGTCACTGCCTCTCTTGTTACTAGTATCCTTAATGTCCCTGAATGTTTTGTCTTTTCGCTTCCTCTGAATCGTGCTGTTGATATTGATGGTGTTGAAGTTAGTTTAGTTGATGCTAATCACTGTCCTGGCGCTGTTCAGTTCTTGTTGAAAGTGCCCATTTGTAAGAATTTAGAGAATTTTGAGTTGTATGTTCATACTGGTGATTTTAGGTACTCTTGTGAGATGAAAGATGATGTTTTTTTGAGAGGTTTTGTGGGGTGTAATACGGTTTTTTTGGATACTACTTATTGTAATCCGAAATTTGTCTTTCCTTTACAAGAAGAGTCGGTTGATTATGTTGTTAGTGCGATTGAGAAGATAGGAGGAGAGGGGTTTAGTGGGGGTTTGGAGAAGAGGGTTCTGTTCCTCGTGGCTACTTATGTGGTGGGGAAAGAGAAGATTTTGGTTGAGATTGCACGGAGGTGTAATAGGAAGGTCTATGTGGATGAGAGGAAAATGGAGGTTTTGAGGGTTTTGGGGTACGGGGAGAGTGGGGTGTTTACAGAGGATGAGAATGAGAGTGATGTGCATGTTGTTGGCTGGAATGTCTTGGGGGAAACTTGGCCTTATTTTCGGCCGAATTTTGTGAAAATGAAGGAAATTATGGTGGAAAGAGGTTACAATAAGGTTGTGGGGTTTGTGCCAACTGGGTGGACTTACGAAGTGAAACGTAATAAATTTGCAGTGAGATCAAAGGATTCATGTGAGATTCATCTTGTGCCATATAGTGAGCATTCAAATTACAATGAACTCAGGGAGTATGTGAAGTTTTTGAGACCTAAACGTGTCATTCCTACTGTTGGTGTGGATGTTGAAAAACTCGATAGTAAACATGCTGCTAAAATGCAGAAGCATTTTGCTGGGTTAGTTGACGAGATGGCTAATAAGAAGGAATTTTTAATGGGTTTTCTTCGTGGGTCGTCTGAGAATGATGAGAAGGTTGAAATGGATGCTGTCTCAGGCTTGAACGAGGGGCTGACACAGGAGAAAGAGTTAGTGCAGTCAGTTGAAATGAGAGCCCATGAGAATAATGACACTGTTGCTTGTCTCAACTCCTCATCTACACTGCAAGAATCTCCTACACACAATTTAAGCATGCTAAATGATGAGGAAAGAGATAAACTCGCTCATGAATTGAGTGATTGTTTGCCCAGGTGGGTTACCCGAGACCAAATGTTAGATTTAATCAGCACTCATGGGAGGAATATTGTTGAAGCAGTTTCTAGCTTTTATGAACGTGAAATGGAATTCCATGATCAATTAATTTCTTGTAGAGTAACTGTTTCTTCATCTGAGACGATTCCATTATATGACTCTGAATCACCTTCACAACCAGTTTCTATTAATACTGATAGTCGAAGTATGGGTTTTATGTCAAGCCAAAACTACAAGGCACCTAGCAAGAATCCTAAACTAAAGGGTGGTAATTCTCCTGGAAAAAGGAAAAGGAGCGTTGGCAATAAGCCTGGCAAGAAATCAAAAATTAATTCAAAGCTGGAATCTGGCGGTTCGAAGCAATCCACCATTACTAAGTTTTTCAATAAAGTTTTGCCTGATGCTTCTCAATTTAGCGTGGTTGCATCTATATCTGAGCAATGCCCTGGAGACGAAAGTTTGTTGCAAAATGATGATGTTACGGAGTCATACAGGGAGGAGGTAGATCAGTTTATTCAGATAATTGATGGCAATGAGTCAACAAGAAGTTATGCTGCCACCATCCTCAAGAAGACAGAAGGAGATATTAACAAGGCTCTGGACATGCATTATGGTAATCCCAAGGGTAACCTTGGCAAGAGTATGGAGGCTTTGGTGGTTTCTGGCAATATGGTTGAGTATCAGTGCGAAACTGGCTCCTCTTCTGCCAGGGAGAAAGAATTGTTTGGAGAAATAGAAAATATGGTTGATCTATCCGTTCAGGGATCATTAATAAAAAACGTGGATGCAACTCTTGTATCACTACCAACAGAAAAATATAATCCCATAGAGCATGGTTTGTCTCTTCACTTTTGAAGCTGATTAACTTACTGGTATTCTCACATTCTCTCTATGTTGCATTAAGTTCTGAAGTTACGCAGCATGCTGGAATGGTGGACAACCTGCACCATATATCCATCTTGCACGTACTTTTGACCTGGTCGAGGCAGAAAAAGGAAAGATCAAAGCTACTTCATTATTGTGCAATATGTTTAGAAGGTTTCCTCATAGGCTACCCTTTTCCTTTATTCATAAAATTACGGGATGCATTGTGTTAATACTTAGCTCAGCGGGAAGTGTCGCTTGCAATTTTTTGTGCATGCAGTTTGCTGGCATTGTCTCCTGAGGATGTGTTGCCTGCTGCCTATCTGTGCACCAATAAGATTGCTGCTGACCACGAAAATGTGGTTAGTGGTCTTCCTTCTTGAAATTTGTGTTTGCTTTTATCAGTCATGGGATTTAATTACATTCCATCCTCTTTAGGTCTCATTGTGCAAATTTTTAACATTTTGGTTGCAATTATTCCCATAACTTGTGGAACATTTTATTTCTGGCATTGAATGATCTCCAGATTATGAATTTCACATATATGTTTTCTGGGTCAAATATTTAGAATATACATATGCTATGTAATAGCATTGTAATCATGTTCTATTTGCTAGGAGATATGGACATATTTCTTCTCTTCTTCTGAGAATGAGATATGGACTTGCTCACATATGGTTTTATTGTATGAACTTTTTATGTTTTCATAATTCATCTGGCATCAGTAATTCTTTTTTCACCATGTGTTTCCCAGTTGCCTATAATTCAACTGAATCTAGGTCCAGTCCAAAAGCTAAGCCTTGGTCTTAAAGTAGTTGGGTTCAGTTCCATGGATCCATTTCCCCCATTCTTTTGTCAGGGCTAAACCAAACCTTCTGTAATTAATAAATCTTTTTATCACTTTGCTCACTTCTTGCTTCATTTAATTCTCCTACCTCTCTCATTTGCTCTGCTTCCCAGTTGCATGTTTTTACTGAAATGCAATTGGAGATGCTTTATAACTCCAGGGTTGAGGGCTTGGTGATTTTCTCTGAAATAGAAGAAAGAAAGATGTACCAATGAGCCTCGAATTTTTCAGGAACTAAACATAGGTGGAACCTTGGTCACATCGGCTTTGGAAGAGGCATGTGGAACAAACCGGTCTAAAATAAGGGAAATGTACAATAGTATGGGGGATCTTGGTAGGAAAAAAAAATCCATCAATCTTTGATCTATTATGATTTTATTTATTAGTTTTATTTTCCTGCTAGTTTTTTTGTCTTTCATTATGGCCGGATGAACAAATATATTGTTTGTGGTTAAAGGTGATGTTGCTCAAGCATGCCGACAAACACAGACATTACTGGTTCCTCCCCCTCCCCTTCTTATTAAAGATGTATTTTCTGCGCTGCAGAAGATAAGGTATGGCCAGTGTTTGTGATTTAAGATAGAACTGCAACTTTAATGGGATTGTTGGGATGGCTATGAGGATTGTTTTCTGATGTCCTAATTGAACATGTCTGGGATATTTTTTCTGGTGATGACACTCATTAACAGAAGTGAACTCAGCTTTAGGAGGCAAGAATCAGGCAAATTTCTTACTAGTAAAGTCTTTTTTTTTTTAATAAATTTTGAGAGGACTGTTAAAGCTCTAATGAGCTTAGGCAGTCAAGTATCATCTTTACTTTTCTCTCTCTCTCTTTTGTGATATTGTAGCAGATATCACTAGATAATCTAATGGTGCAAAGTCATAGAAGGAGATCATTACCAATTCCAAATAAGATTGCAAAAACAAAATTTTTCTGTGGATTCTAGTGGCTGCTGGATGAAGGATTGCATCCTTAATGATCTCTTGCTCTGATCCATGCTGGAATTGCATAGAAGTTGAACAATCTTACACTGGAAGTAACTGATTATGTTTGCAGCTTCTTTGTCTAAAAGTTAGAAATTAAATAATCGCACAATTATGTTTACTTCTAATTTTAAATTCCTAGATGATTAGTCATATGAAAAAGAGTGTGATGATCCATCTATATCTAACCTATCCCATAGTTTACAGAGCAGCTCATTGTCACACAAGTCATTATCTTCATTCAAATTTTTCTCATGTAAGATTCTCCAGTTTACAAACAGGTAGCGGAAGTACTGGTCGAAAGAAGAGCCTCATTGTGAATCTCATGCGTTCTTGTAGGGAGAATGAGATGAAGTTTATTGTCAGAACTTTGGTAAGAGTCCTGCACAACCTTTCAGGATTATGACCATAGTAGGTATTCTATAATCATTTTATTATTCAAGTAGATAAGCTACTGGTCTTTGCTGCTCTTATCAAACAACATAAAGAGACATCTGTTTTAGGGACTTTGATAATTGCTGATTTACCTAATCTAGCTGTGGATTTGAAAAGGTGACAGGATGATTTTACTCCTGAAATCCTACTTCAGTTTAATAATCTTTTTCACATGGATCTGTACTTGCATCCTCTTGTCTATCTTTATGCATCGAGTTTTCCCTATCCATGCAATTCTTTTAGGAAGGAAGATGAATGCATTGATAATATTATCATGCTTTTCTTCTAATCCATCTTAATTCTTATTATTTCTGGACTCTGTTGTGCCCTTTGGTTATTTTGTAAGGGTTACTGACCACTCGTGCATGTCACAGAATTTAAGATCTCAGTTTTTACATAGTAAGGCCAAGGAAATTTGCACCTTGTACTCTCTTTTTGGCTGTCTTGTGGTCTGAGCATTTAGTTCTAGGAGTTGATCTTCATAATTTGTTGTTTTTCCTGTCTTTCTCCATAAGTTCTTGTGATGGAATCAACCAAATAAAACTCAATTTGGAAATCTTCTGCTGTAGCACTTCAATCATATTGTCTTTGTTAGTCAATTTAAAACCATTCATATGATTTGATTGAGGTTAGTTTCTGTTATCAGTAATTTATTTAACTTTGTCTGAAGGTATTGTACTGTTGTAATTTCTGGATTTGATGGAAAGAGATTTTAGCAACTGTCCTTAAGCTTGTAATTTATTGCTATATTGAGTCTATTTCCCTACGAAATAGTCCATCCACACCCCCCCCCCCCCCCCCCCCCCCACTAAAGTAATAATTAGCCATCAAATAAATAGTTCTAAATTTTAGCTTTTAAAACGAGACATTTGTCATACATTTAGACATCTTGGTTTTCAAATCAAGAA